TAGTCAAAATGAGTCAGCAAAAAATAGAAAAAATAAAAATAAAAACAGTCACTTTTTAACACAAAAACAACAAAGAATAAAAAAAGGAATATCAAGAGTCGCTCTTTGTTAGCCTTAAATGGTCACCCCGTTAATCTCATTTTAAGCGTTTCACAGCTGGCAGCATGACTCGAAGTATCGTTAAGCTTTTTTCCTTTCTGGTTTTTATGTTTAAGTACTTGTTTTTGCTTTTATTACAAAGACAGATTTTAACAAAAGATAAATCTTACTATTAAAATCACTTAACGGGCGGCACGTGCGTTTTCGAAATCTCTCAACCAAAACAAACAGATATAATAAACCTTGCCCACTTTTGCGCTAAAACAAATAACACTCAAAATAATTCAAAATAGTGGCTGTTTTTGCGTACCTTAACATTCCACTACTTCAAGAAGGTTTAATTATATATATTTGAAAATTGTTAATTCCACTTTTGGATGTTTAATTGAGTTGCCTTCAAGGTTAGGTGACTTAACTAAAGAAGGTTTGCAAACCAAATTTTGAAGATGATGTAAAATGCTTACCATCAGTGCAACCAAAGGCAACTGGGAATAAAAACAGAGACAGACCAAAGGCACAAATTTGGAGACAAACGTCCATGCTCGGCATTATCCTTACTATCTTACCTCAGTGGTTTAGAAACTAAAAACGAGCACCAAAAACGGGAAAATCTTGAAAGCAAGATGACCTTATCAAGTTTCTCTCGGCTTCAAATAGAGAATTATGTCATGACAGCTTTTAGTATTCAACCAATAAGAACATACGGACCTCAAACAATATTTGTACGGGTAGCTGTTGCAAAATTTCAATATCCCTGTTTTAATGGACTAATTGCTTGTTATTGTTTTGGTACCAATTTTTATTGGACACCTTTTAAGAAGAGATAACCAAATTCTTAACTGAATTCGATTTGAAGACAGTGACATCATTTCGTAACATTTCCACGAAAGTAACGAGAAACTGATGTAGATTCCTTAGTCCTGTGGGGCTCGCTAAGTAGTAGATTCTTGCACCCACTCCCAGTAATTCTCCATGCATAATTTTTTCTGCCTTAAGAAAAAGTAGATAGTAGTTTTTCTCTCTTTTAAATTTATAAGAATTTATATATCCTCTGTATTTGGAAGTGTAAGAGCACCAAAAAAAGATACAAAACTGTCTGACTAGCCATTTTGGCAGCCGGCTGCATTAGTGGTTTGTTTAACTTGTCTGTTTACCTTACTCTACTTCCCTGTTAAACAAAATGTTTCCCCGAGGTTTCACTTAGAACATGGAGCTATTTAAAACTGTAGATCATAAAAACGGTCAGTTTTGTAGTTAATTGAAAGTATGCTGTTTAGAAGCAGAAGCATATGCTTCTGTTAGAAGTTAATGATCCAGAGGAGAGCCACAGCTAATTGTTGGAAATATGATTCTCACAAAACAGATACGTTTAGATCTACCAATTACGACCTTTTTTGTACAGATTAATGATTACGGAAAGTGGGAAGCAAGTTTTCAAATCAGTATTAAGCCACAGGAAATAGTTTTAACTTCTGCTTGGCGCGAAACGACAAATTCAAAGAAGGAGTAAATAAATTCTGCCCTACACGTTCCTGTTTGGCTAATGTTTACCATGTGGTTGGCTCATTTTGAGTAAACTGAGTCAATTCAATTAAACCTTTCCAGCAAAAAGCCTGATTCTCAGTATTATATTGATTCTCAATATATAGGCATTTGGCATTTATCCACCTGCTGTTAACGTACTCCCTTGCTATATAAGAATATAAGACTAGTATAACTGGCCATTTTATATTTATTATTATTGTTATTGTTGTTGTTGCTGTTGTTGTTGTTATTGTTATAGTTTTTTTTTTCTAAGAGCTAGGATGACTTGGAAAATAATTATAACTAGAAGGCGATGATTAATTTGAAAATCGAAATATCGGTACTATAGGAATAGTAAACTAACTAAACTCAAGTACAGGGATAAGGGGTAACCAAACATCCCTCAACCTAAATGGTACAGACTTTAAACTTAATTATATCTTGAGGTTTTGGAGCAACAAAGAGAAAGTTGAGCTGATTCGAGTGCAGGCTTATAACTACCTGGTGCATGCAAAAATATATTTATAGACAATTTCAGCGGGTAATTAAGAGATTAAATTAAAAATCCATCCGCCAAATGACGTATGTAAATCGTGTTTATCTTCTTACTTAACGCAATGCTCAACTTAACTGTTAAAATACGTCGAAGGATTTTTCTTGACTATCGGTTAACTCTCAGTTATATATTAGAAAGTAACCTGATTTTATGATTCCTAATAAGAGAATGAAATCACGCTTTTGGTAAAAAATATATGTCAAAAAAGAAAGAAGGGAAAAGAAAAGAGAATGACCCTGTTTTATTCTTCAGAGATAGCTTGCCAGAAACAAAGACTGAACTGTGTCATTCAAGTCCTTTACAACTGGGTTCCTCTTTCTTCCCTTTGTCTTATGACATTTTTGTTTCTGGAACCCAAACTCATGGTTACAAGCTCGTTGTGCGACATGTTTCTCATTGGTATATCAAACATGTTAATTCCACTTGCGGATATTTTTTTCAAGCTTCGACGGGCCTATGCAGCCTTGTATTGTGGCCCTATAGTTAGTCAATCATTCTTTGATAAAATTTGACGTATGAACAATTGCGTGAAAGTACTAATTTATGTGTAGAAATTTTGAACAGTAAGCGACAAACAAAGGGAAACTTCGTCACGTGGTACAAATTCGCGTTTTCCCTTTGACGTAAGCGTGACCCCTAACCTCGCAAGTATCCTGTCTGAATGACTCAGAGAGCCCCAGAAAGGAAGACTTCAAGGAGTTAAAATCCAAAAAATTTCCTGGGCGAGCCTTTTCCCGGACACCTTAGAAGCTTGCGCTTTCAGCGCTCGTTGAGGAAATCGGTCAGTACTTATCTTAGATCCGCGCCTGATAAAGGTCGACCTGTGTAGGAGGTTTTTCTAAGAAATCCTTCTAAAAGGATCTTGTAGAAATAGAAAAAAATAGCGATTGATTTCACATTCACCTGGTAATCTTACTGTCACTTCAAGATATAATATGAAAGGGGCACAATTAATTTTAAGGACAACTTAATGGAAAGTGATTCGGGGGTCTCCATGACCATTAAAGTCAACGGTTTGTGTAGACTACATGTTGATGTATTAACAATAAGCCACAATGCAGCTATAAATGTAATTTTCGTATACATATTGTGTCATTATGAACATTAAGATAGCTTGCATGTCTTCTCGGAGAGGTTTTTGTATTTATTTCTTTGTGTTGTAAAGACTGAAATATAGTAGCTTGTAGTGAATATTTTAAACTGATGTCGTGTTTTTGTTAAATAAATCAAGGAAACGTCCAAGTAATTCTCTTGTCATCATACAGATCTCCTGTCATGAACAATTAACCAATTTTATTAAATATTTTGTTTATTGAAAAATGTTTTGTAAAATATTTATATTTGCTATGGAATGCTGAACTGATTCTACGCACAATTTAACTGGTCTCCAGCTGGGGGATATTGACCGGGGGAACTGAACAAAATTTCACACGGGGGGGAGGGGAGAGGGCCTCCGCCCCGAGGTGCAACCCCTAGCCCTTTTATACACCAGTTTTGACAGAAAACGTACCCCTTTCGAATCACATATTGTTAATATTTAACAAATGATACCCCCTTGATGTACAGAAAGTTGTCTTGTCTTTTTGAGGTATAAAATACACCTTTTAGGTCCTTTCGCAGACCGCAATGATAGATTTCTCTACCTTATTTTATAAATCAACCAGTGAAACCCCTAACTCTTCATATACAGGAATCCTGAAACTGTACCCCTTTGGGCATTAAAAAAAAGTCCACTTTTAATCTAGGGCAAGAGAGAATGCTCATTCTTTCTTGTCTAGGGTGTCTACTGCAATCTTGATTCTCGGAATTTGCAGTTTCCAATATTTTGTGAAGGACAAAGTAATCTGAAAGATTTATAATCAGCTTGTCCTTGCTTTCCTTGCATTTTTTTTTCACATTGCCTTTTTTTACACAGCTACTATTGTTTTATCAACCATAGAGTTTTAGGAGTTTAATAAACATAGAGTCATCTAGTCGTTGCTCTTTTCAGTTTGTAAGTCCGGGTTATGGGCTAAGCATTGCTAAGTCTAATAAAGCAAATACTCCCAAGTATCAATCAATAGGCAGAAAGTTGGCTCTTGGTTTGGGTGAGCGGATTAAACTGATTCCTTGGTTGTTACGGCGATTTTGCTAACCAGTTGGCGCGAATGTAGAAAATCTTGTAAGTCCCAGATACCAGTCAGCAAAACCTACAAACCTGAAAATAAAAGTACTTTTGAGCTTTTAATCAACGTTT